TTCCATTCGCTCCGTTGCGCTCTTTCTCCGATGGTTGCGTCTCGCCTCTCGTTTCGGCCGTCGATCGTGCCCTATGTCGTTTTCGCCCCTGATCGTATTTCCCCGTTTTCCCGAAAACTCCGGGTTCGTTTCTCCGATTGTTTCGGTTTGGACGTTGTGCGCGTGCGCATTTTATTCTCGTTCCTTCCTTTTCACGCACACCCTAGGGCAACGTTTTCTGTTTCTTCTGACCCGTTGAGTCGCACCAAGTTTTTTGTTCTTATCTTTTTTTTACCCTGCAAGCCTTGCGTCTTTCGCATCGGAAAGAGGGAACACACACACACAAAAATGGCGATTGTGGCGCTATGGGGAAAAGGAGCGTGGCTTGTTTGCGTTATGCTCGGTCGACAGCGACGCCCACGCACGTATACTTCTCGCGCCAGCGCCTTCGCAACGCTTCTGGGAACGAGGGAATAGCGACAGAAAAAAAAGGAATAAGGGACAAACAGATAAGGAAGAAAATAAACGAACAAACCAGAAGGAGCCTAAGGATCGGAGTAGGGCGGGCAAGCGAAAGGGGAAAAAAATGAGGATGAAGGCAGAGAAGACATGCCACTGCTGCTGCTGCTGCTGTTGGTGACAGCTCTCAACAGCCCCGCGTTCTGACCTCGTCTTCGTATTAACGCCTCCCTTCCCCCAACCTGTGTCTGAGAAGGAAGGAGACTTCTTCCCTATGTGCATTCGCCGTCTCTCCCCATGCGCCTTCCTCGCCTTTAGTCTCCGGGGGTGTCGTAGTCGCCTTTCTCGTGGGAGTAACGTGCTTCCTTTTTTTTTGCCACTTATTATTCTTTTCTGTTTCGAGTCTCCACGTCGGATTTTCCCCTTCGCATTCACTTCTGCACGGATCATGATTGTTTATCCCCATTCTCCTCATTCACAGTGCTGTCGTTGTGCTCGCGTAATTCTTTCTTTTTTTGTCGCTGTGCCCTCTTTGCATTGGTCGCCCTCTTCTGCCGAAGAGGAGATCCTCACCTCTCCATTTGCTCCTCTCCGACTGCCGCGTACAGTTATCTTTTCTGAGGTTATTCTTCCGCATTCTTCCACCTGTTTCTTCTTTCTTTATTTTTTATTATTGTCGCAAAGCTTTCATCTTCCGCCTCTTTAACCCCTAGTCGTGTCTACATCTTTGAAGATATTCCTGCTGTGGTCGTATTTATTTTATTCCAGTGGCATGAAAGATTGCCTCTTTTGAGGAACGTGACGTGGGTTCGAGGGTCACTGTTTTATTATTGATTTTTTTCTTTTTCAACGCAAGATGATCTTTCGAGCGGTCAGATGCGAGCGTGGTTCAGCAATCTGAGGAATATGAAATGACACTTCGAACCTCCTTTGCGCGGTCTTTTATGTCTAGATTCTTCGGCCCCTTGTTGGTGCGCTTACTTATGTGATCTTATTTGTTAAGGAATTTATATGGTTCTAAATGCCTGACACACACGCAAGAAATTGATTCCGTCGTTGCACCAGCCGCCGCTATAAAATCGCGTTAGCTTGGGAACCATTCTGTGGTTAGCTTCATGTCAAAAATATCGTTTGACATAAACATGCACACTTGCCTGTTTTGTCTCCGGTAAAGGTCGGCTTCATAATGTTGGCGAGTGGCTCGAACACTGCCCGGTGGTAACTTACACTTGGGAATGAACCTTACATGACAGGGAGAAAAATTGAGGGTCACATTTTTGTACGCATTGTTTCTGTCTACGTGAAAAATTATTTGAAGGTTAACTTTAGGAGAGATATCAAGCTATATCATCTGTGCGCAGACTTTGGCGAACGTTCGTATTGTTCCTCGCAGTCATTGTTTCTTAAAGGTGGTTATATTTCTGGCTCTATTTATTTTCATTTTTGCTCGTTTCATTTTAAGGATTAAGTCTACCTTGCGATTGCCTATTCACGTGGAAGAGAGACACGAGTAACTCTTCCAAAGGAGGTGGCTGCCTTCATCACCGCTGAAATGACAAACTATTTTATTGTGAAGGAAATAACGTTTTTTTTTTCGACAGTGAGTGAAGGGGCACTGTGGTGATGCGTTGCGGGAAGGTAACTGCAGGAAACACTTGTCAAAGTGTTGCTTTTCAGGCTTTGCAAAGAGATGGCAATATAAATGCCCCATGTCCGCGAGATACGCATTCTCTATAATTACATAACGCGGTACGCCCCTTGTTTTGTTGTCGTAGCACGTGGCAATGTGATCTTATGAAATCATATCGGTTTTGTGTAGTTCGCTATAGATGAAGTATGCGGGTAGCAAGCTCTTAACTAAGCTATAGTTTTGTTCAAAACGAAATGTGAGATCACCCAGAATTGGCAATGTTATGATGATGAAATGTTTCTTTGTGACGTAAAAAACGTTGAGGTTCTCAAACCTTACACTGGCATTCGCGGGACACTGATACTAATTAATGCTGTTTAACATTAGCACTCGAGAAAGCACTGCACAATAGGAAGGCGCGACAAGCATTCAAACTTCACGGGTTTATTGTACAGGTCGTGCGGATGCAATCTCTCAACAAGAGAGGAACCTGGCTTTACAGAAGCACCTCACATTTGTCACTGGGATCACGTTTTCTGGACCGTCCGTCAAGTCCAAGAGTTTTTTTTTTCCCGCGTCACATCCGCGTACTTTCTTCGTCTTGCGCTTGAGCCTCCATTCTACGTGCACCTATTCACAATATGGTTCGAGGGTCTAAGCGGAGCATTGGGTGTTTGCTGTTACACTTGCGGTAGTGGTTGACAGTGATATCACGTAGCGGAGTACAGGTAGCCTTCGAACACGCTTGATCTTGCGATGCATATTGAATTCCACTTTAGATGGCATTAAGAAATGAGTGTTTCAACGGGTTTTCCGATGCTGTGAACGCGTAACGTTTTTGTCATTTTTTTAATAAAATGTTTGCGAAGCTTAGCGATGAATGGCGAATGGTGTTTAGAATATTACGACTAGAGGGATTATATAGGATTGTGCCTGAGAATAATTTCGGGGGAACCAAGGCTAGTTGATCGGTCAGCACCAATTTTTACAGTAAACGAATGACTCCTTAACTATAGACACCTGTATATTCATTGATAGTTCATTGGCTGTTAACCTTCGCTACGCTACCTAAGGTATACGATGAGTCCCTCGTATACGTTGATATCGTCAAGCCGCCTCATTGTCAAAACAATTTACGAGTGCAATACCTTTGCGCATTCACAGACATTGGCGCACGTAAGGTAACAAAAGTGCATTGTTCGGGGAAATTTTCGGAATATTGCCACGGAGAACGTCCTTATGTGGCCGACCCTTAATGTGTCTAATGACGGCAGCACAAAACAGCTGCTCTATTCAGTGAGGTCTACTCTGAAAATTATCGAACTAGCTTAGTGTTTACTCGCGTGAGAGCCTGCAACTGTACTCTTAGAAACAATAAACGTGAAGTTACAACTCAAACTTGAAAAATGGAGCAAGGATATATCTACGCACGTTGTCAGCTTTGTTCACAGAGGTTGGAGACTTAATCTCGGCTCATCATCAGTTGCACCACTGTCGGTAATTTAGTTCAAGCCTGCTCTCTATAGCAGTCCCCAAAGCAGCAATCAAGTGGCCGTATTTATAGACCAGTTGGTATATTGGTGACCTAAAATGCTAAAGTGGTCTGAAAATTCGAACTGGACATTCCAAAGTTTAAAGTTCATGTTAAGACTCAAAGGTAACGCCTCTTCTTTCAGGAGTCCTTCTTTCAGGAGACATGAGGCTATGTCACTGTCGGCACCGGTTAAGGTTTGTTATTTCTACACCAACGGGCATTCATTCCGCGTGAGCGGACGCCATGCCAGTTCCAAGTCCAGTTTCGAGTCACACATCACGTAACCTGCGAGATTCTGCGGAAGGGTCTCCGAGAGCTGCGGCACGCGCCGGCACGTGGGCCCCGTTTTAGTCCGGCGTACGTTTTCGGTGCGCAAAGAGGATGTGTGGGAGGGCATCTCGGCACCGTGCTGCCGACGCTGCCACTGACTGTGCTTCAGAGCCAGGGAAGGGTTCCCGCAATCCGTTCAACGTCACGAAGGGGGTTGCAAGGCAGTTCATAAAAAGTCACTGTACACGGGTCATCCTTCAGTCCGGTCTGTCCGTAGGAGGGGGCGAGGGAGAACAGCTCGGGCTCATCGCTTGTCTCCCGCTCAGAGGACCTTGATCTCGACGTCTTCGTCGCTGTCCACGTCCACGGAGCGCTGGTCGTCGTCTTCGTCCCGCGAGGCCCGCATGAGGTGTTCGGCGAGGCTGGCGGCGGCGGTCACCGGTTGGTGCGGGTGAGCGCCGTGACCGTTGGTGGAGCCCGCGGCTGTGGTCGGGCAGGTGACATCGCTCAGGTCCGGGTTCGGGTTGCTCTTGGTCGGCAGGGTCTGCTCCCGGGAGCCTCCGCTGGACAGCAGCTCGCGCTCCTTCGAGTTGCGCCACTTCATGCGCCTGTTCTGGAACCAGATCTTCACCTAAGAGAAGGGGTAAAGAGAGGGGTTGTTTTTTAGTGAAGGAGGAAACATCAAAGACAAGTTGAAAAAAAAAGAACGCTGTTGTGTACCAGGACAATGTGAGATTTAGGTGGAAGGTGGAAGTAATGTTAGTGGTCGAACTATTTCCCACATGAGTATATGGGTCGAAGAAATAAAGCAGAGAACAAGAGCTCGTTCCAAAATTCGATTGCCCGTTTTCTTTTCTTTTTTTGCGTAACTATTCGCTGGCACGTTTTGGCATGTTAAACCATCCCAAGGATAAATACATGTTATTGCATTCTTTATATGTTGTCTCTATAGCAAAGCTGCTTTGTCTAAATATGCCTGTTTAGACATGATTTGTCTAAACAGACTCATCATCGCTAAAGTCTACTGAAACGTCATCATGTGAACTCAAACAATACATAAATGCTCAAAATATTGCGGGATATAGCTATAGCACTTCATCACAGCGGCACTCTATTCAACACAGGGGTTTCAGCATCTATTTGTCCTTTTTTATGCTTCTCTAAGAAAAAGGACGCAGTTGAAAATCCATTGGGGTGAATGGTTTCTTTTTTGTCTCTTCTATACTATTTATAACTTCCAGCGCCGTTGAACTTTTTTCAATTTCATGCCGAATAAACATTTCTTTTTCATGAAACGCACAGAATGAAAAGCTACTTGAAATAAATTACATCATCTCCCGCTAAAGGAACCACGTGTACCTAGATGCAAAACAGCGGGCGCTAATGCTTACACTGGTAGTGGCGTTGACGCTGGCGCCCATCGCGGCGCGGCGAAGAAGATACATTTAGGGAGGACCAAAGCACGCAGTGGTGCACCGGTGTATCCTACTGAACATGCAAATCACTGCTAATGGGCCATGAGAGACTGAATACTCCGATTGGATCCAGAGGCCCGCAGTTCGCTAAAGCGCATTCTGCGAATTTTTATATATCAACGACGCACAGGAGAAATCTCTCACCGGCACTACCTTGGAGGTCAAGATCCAGTACCTATATATACGGAGTGGCCAGTGAACGGTTTGCAGCGTGAGCTGTATCAAAGAGCTCGTTAGCGGACGTTGCCTGTGTCGGAGTTGCGAGGTGGGAGAGGGGAGCGTAGGAGAGGAGAGGGAAGGGAACGCGCATGCGCAATAGTGGTGTAAACGCCACTGGGAAGGATGCTTAGACGATAGAGAGAGGGGAGCGAGCGTATACATATAGGCGAGCAGGCTAGCGTCTCTGCCTGCATATGCGTCGGGAGGTGAGGTAGGAGAGGAGAGAGGGGCAGGGTCGAGCATCCGCAGTAAGTGTGGTCACGCCGCACACCGTATTAAGCTCCACCATAAGACGCTTCGCATCTAAAAATCACTCCTCTACGCTTCTCTTCATGCTAACTAGGCACTTAACTCGTGGCGCAGCTTTTTTGAAGCGTGACTTCAAAAAACAACCAGTAGTCCGAGGCCTGCAGATCACCTAGTTCGATTCTCGGAGGCCACATTCTTCGAGGGCTTGTGTACGGGGCGTGCATAAGAGAACCGAACTAGTTCAAAATCGATACAGTGCAATTCACCCGCTTCTAAATATAAGGCGCGCCTGAGCAATCTTTTGAACTGTTGAATGCCACCCAATGAGAAGACATAGTTAGAAGATATCTGTCCGAAAGGTCGAGCAAGCCTAATGCAGAGCGAGAGCGTCGCAATCTTTGCATAAGCAGCAGTGTGGAACGCTCAAGGAGGAAGTATAGCCGCAAGAGAGAGAGAGAGAGAAAGAGAGCGGAGTTGAAGAGGAGGAGGAGGGGAAGAGCGACGAGACACTCAGAGCCAGGCCCCGCGGCTGCAGCCGTCGTCATCATCCTCGGCGGCTGCGACGGCGTGTTCGGGGACCGCGCGAACTCGTTAATTAAGCGGACCTCCTTCCGAAATGGGCCTCCGCCGTAATGCGCGCCTTTAGCGAATTAATATGTCGGAACGCAACGCGCGTGGGCGACCCCTCTTGCTCCCGTCCCTCCTTTCTTTTTTTTCCCGAGGCACCCTCTTCTTCCCGTTCCGTCGATGCGGCCTCCTCCATTTTCCGTACGCGGGAAGAAACCGTCCAGGCGTGGCGCGCAGCCGCGTTTTTGCCAACGAAAGTGCGCTCGCATGCATGCCGCCGTTCTGACGGCCGCTGTGGTGGCGACGGCAATTAGGCCGTCATCACGCTCCCATTATCCCCCACCCTCCCCCCACCTCCTTCTTCATCGGTTTTCTTCGTTCGTGATCTCAATTTCTCCCCCACATTCCATCAACCCTTTTCGGGACCTCCAATGCGTGAGCTGCGCATTGCGTCAATATTTCCAGTTTCTGGGCTCTCCCGACGCGTCCGGCTTTTCGTTTCCGTCCCGATGGTATACCGAGACGAAAAGGGGCTCAAGCACGGACCGTAAATGTGCCGATAAGAAATTGGCGCATTAAACCTATAATAATACATGACATGGTTACCTGCGTGCACGGTGTTACTCACTTCAACAGCGTGAGTTTGCGAATTTCACGTTTCCGCTGTTTCATACCAAGCTCACATAGGATATCGGCGCTGTAAAAAAAGGCCCTGCTCCTTCTGTCTAGAAATCAGTACATAACACGAAAGTGAAACGAGTGATCACAGAGGCAGTTGCGCTTTTGTTGTGCATCGGTTCTCCACGAGGACGAAGGAATGAATTCTACTGCGATAAATTGTGAAGTCACGTGAAGAACGGCAAGCAGCTCCAAACCTGCAGCGGGCACCTCAAGCAGAAGAAAACGCCGGAAATGAGCATACACAGGACAAGCATGGACTTACAACTGCCACAGATGGATACCTAAAGCACGCTGCTTAAACTCACAAAAAAAAAGAGGCACGAATGGAATGCGAAAGTATGCACAAGACGAGCGCGAACTGTCGAAATTTTCACTTCTTCGTGGAGCAAGCAGCGTGCTCCTTTCGTAAAAGTGGCCGCGGCAGCGAGCGAAGCGACCTTCGTGCTCTCTTTAACGCCCCGTGGAGTTGCTCGTAAAAGTGGCCGCGGCAGCGAGCGAAGCGACCTTCGTGCTCTCTTTAACGCCCCGTGGAGTTGCTCGTAAAAGTGGCCGCGGCAGCGAGCGAAGCGACCTTCGTGCTCTCTTTAACGTCCCGTGGAGTTGCGCGCGCATTGCAATGTGCGGAACGACGCTCTTTAGAGCTAAAGCCTTGTTTTAGAGTGCGCCCAAAGCGCGCCCCCTCGGGCCATCCCGCCACTGATGACGAAAACTCGCCGAAGTTGCTGAGCTGTTAGGACCGCCATGAAACGCGATTGTATAAGAAAGCATCACGTACCCGTACAATAAATTCAGTTGAGAGGTTGCACCTGTATTCGTGTGGTTCTTCGCCTGCCCAGAACTCGTCGTTCAAGCAGTGCGCAATAACGTAACAATGAACAGCTGTCAACTCGCCCAAGCAAACACACAATTTCTGGCGTTTATTTATAGCTCCATTACAAGCGTTTACGCGGACGCTTGTCCTAGCATAAGCGTCCGAGATTTTATTGAAAAAAAAAAATCCAGTATTTATGACACAGAACCCTGCTCTCCCTCTTGGCACTGTTCTTAGCACTTCTATAAGCTCTCACCAGGGCTTATTTCATAGTTTCTTGAGAATGAAGAATGCAAGGTAAGTAATAGCAACGAATAATGAGGTCTAGACTCCGCCTCTAACCGCGCCTGCTTCACTCGGACTGTTGATAACGAACAAGACTTTCAAAGCAGCGGGCAGCCTAATGAAAGAGTTCAATTTTCAACTTTTTTTCTTGTGAATACCTATTTCTTTCCAAAACGTAGGCAATAAATCCTATATGCCGCGCATACTTCCACCTAACGCGTTGGACGTCTCTGCATGCATTCGCTGCTACATCGCGAAGCAGCTCCGAAAGGAGCAGCGCGAAAAGCGCCCGGACACGCTTTCCGAGGGCCTAGCTCACAAAGCTCCTCATACCTAACCATGAATAATACATGCCGTGCCTCGGAGATAAAGCTTAAACACAAAATTCGCCGCACTCCGGCCGGCGCCGCTGCTGGAGCCACATCTTTGAGGAGCGCGCCAAAGCGCATTCGTTCCTACTCACATAAGCGCGCGTATACACACAAGCCGCATACGACATTCCGATTCAGTCGCCGCGTCTAGTCGAGGGCGGCTTTTCCGAATTTCATATCGGAGTCAACTCGCCAAGTTACTCGACACCACGTTTCGACGCCCGGAAAAAAAAAAAAGTAAATAACGTGACGGCTTGGCAGTCGCATCATCGCCAGTCGCATTGCAAACAAGTTACAACGCCAAAAGAAAGGTGGCGCTCTTTATGAATCGGACGACGAAAACGGCACGGCAAGAGTGTGTGGTCGGTCTTTCTACCGCGTGCTCTTGTTTTCGTTTATGCTCGCGTGTGCGCGCGTCGTTCTGACGCTGCTTTTTTTCTTTTGCCCCCGTCGTACATGCAGGCAAGAAGGCAGGGCGGAAGGAAATGACATCCGGCAGACTACAGAAAGAAGGTGGGCAGCATAAAGAAAGATAGGTGCAGCGTTTTCATCTGCTAGGCTGCCCCGCGCAGTTCTTTTTGCTTTACCCTCGTCAGGGTAAAGCCGCCAGGTTCAAGACGCGGGTCTGCCGTTCTCGCTCGGCTGAATGTTTCCCGCCGCGGCAGGCACACAGGGCTCCCGCTTGAATGCGCCCTCGTAAGCGACGGCTGGCCCGAAGTCGTTGATTCGTTCCCTCTCGCTTTGTCGGTCGACTCGCTTCCAAAGCGGTGGCAGCGACAGTCGGCTAGTGAGTGTGTGTATATGACGCACTCAATGGAAGAGGGGGCATATCCACGGGGGTGGCCGCAAACGCCGCCGGTTAGGGGGCCGGTGAATTATTCATGCAGCCAAGGCAATTCTCGCGCCGCTGCTGGCTGGCGCCGCGTTCAGCCGAGAGAGAGCCGCTGGCGCAACCGAGCTGCTGGCACGACGC